AAGGATGAGAAGTCCCACGAATGAAGTCCCGAGACTTAACGAGTCCTAAATGACATATAATGGCATATATTGACATAAATATAGTGTTTAGAAGCAACCAAATGCAAGGAAACACCTCACGGGACTAGAAAACACTTTGACCAAGTGTTGGAATCACATGTGATTCACTAAAAGGGAGTGTACGGCCACTTTGAGGAGTGTGCGGCCATGGGTGTGCGGCCAGGGGAGTGTGCGGCCGCACACTCATGGTAAAAAGTACACAAAACGTTTTCCAAATGGTAGGGAGGCTTGTAGGACTGATGCTCATCAAGTGTTGAAGCTAGAAAGGCACTTTGGAGGCCCTTAAGCACTAAACAAAGGGGTGCACAGCCACATGGGGTGTGTGCGGCCGCACACTCCTTGATGAACATGGTTTAGATGTCTTCTAAGGCTCATATATGGTAAGTAACAAGCTTGGGGAATGGTATTTACAGTATACAAGCCTTTAGGGGTGTTTTGAGGATGTCCGAGGGGTGTTTTGAGGGTGTCCGAGGGGTTTACGGCCACATGAGTGTGTGCGGCCGCACACACCATATGTTCTTGAGTTCTGGGCAGTTTCAAGGGCTTAAACTAGTGTTCTAAACAAGATTCAAGTGTAGGGAAGAAGTTCTTACTATCCGGAAGCTCGAGAAGGCCCAAAATCGCCAAGAACGTGTGTTCTGGTGTTCTTGTGAAATGGATGAAGATTTGAAGAGCTAGCCAAAACATGATTTCAAATGGATGAAATCAAAGGATGTAACTAGTTTATGAAGATTAACAACAAATCAAGTGAAGAACACTTACATTCTTGAAGATCTAGGCTGAAAATCGGATGATAGTTGAGAGAAAAATCGAGTTCTAAGCCTTGGAGAGTGAAAAAGGATGAATGAAGGCTAAACCCCTCCTTTGTACACGTGAGTGTGCTGCCAGGAGAGGGGTGTGTGGCCCGCACACCCAGTGTGCGGCCGTACACTCCTGATGTTGAAGTGTAAGGCTCGATTTTGGTGCTAGAAGTTTACGCGATCCATTTCTATGCTCAATGTTGGAATGTACTGAGCTTTGAACCTTTAAACGGACTCTAAACGAGGCTAAATGATAGCAAAAATGAGTCTGACACTCAGCGGAGTTGACTGGCTGGGCTTCGCAAGGCAAAACTAAAAAAAAAAAAAATTCCGGGTTGTCACAGTTTACATACACAATATAGCTCTCTCTCTCTCTAATACAACATGATACAAATACATAAATATGCAAACTCCCCTCTCTCTCTTTATCTCTCTCTTTTCTTTAATGTTGTCTATGTGTTTTTTGTGTTAACAGGATCTGATCTCGATTCCTACAGAAAAAACAAACATATCAGGTATGTAAAATGGTGTTTGTGACTGTGTGTGTGACAACCCGAAAATTTCTAACTGGTAAAGCCAACCAATCCAAATCAAATGTCAGACTTGTTTCTGCTATCTTGTAGCATTGTTAGGGGTCTGTTTGAGTGTTCTAAGCCTAGTACACTTAAGGATTGTGTGTAGGGGTGTGTCAGCTAAAGTTCATTGAGTTGCAATCGAGCCGGAAACTCCATCACAAGGAGTTCACGGCCCCAATCAAGAGTTTACGACCGTAAACTCCATGATGGACATGAACCCCTTCCCTTATGTATCAATTTCCTTCATTTCTTCATCATTCTTCACATCTTCAAGGCTGAAACTCATTTCTCTCTCAAGTATCATCAAGAACAATTCGATTTCTCTTCATTTTTGTAAGTGATTCTTCGATTGTTTCTTAATATCCTTCTTGACCTTGTGAAACCCTTTGATAACATCCTTGAATTCATCACTTTCCCTTCAAGATCTTCAAATCTTCATCCTTTCACCAAGAACACCTACTTGTTCTTGGTGGCCGTGAACTCCCAAAGGCTTCCAAATCGTAAGTATCCTTCCATATTCTTGTTAACCACTAGAAACTCTTGAATCCTCATGAAACAAACACCCTTTAAGCTTGAATCAAGATCCAAAATGCATCATTTTGGAGTGTTTAAGGCCGTAAACACTTCTTAAGGCCGTAAACTCAAGTGTGTGGCCGTAACCTCCTTGATGTGGCCATAAACTCTTTCTCATACAATCACATGTGATTGTAACACTTTCTTACAAGTGTTTCCTAGTCCCTAAGGTGGTTTCCTTACATGTTAGTTGTTTTAAACACTAATTACATGCCTATATATGTCATTATATGTCATTTAGGACTCGTTTGTGTCTCGGGAATTCATTCGTGGAACTTCTCATCCTTACGCGAATCTTCAATTGAATCACCCACACACGGTGAGTTCATACCCCTATAATCAATCTTTTAAATGTTTTAAATGCTTTTAAGGGGGGGAATACAAGTTGAACACAATGATAATTGTGTAAATGTTATCTGTGATAAACATCATTTTAAAGGATTTCTTATGCTTTTATAAGTGATCAAATCATTTCAAAAACTCTTTTAAAGTTATGTTACTTTGTTGTTTATAAAACTCTGTTTTTAAAGTACAATCATAACTCATTAGATAATCGAGTCTTTTCTACAAATCAGAGACAGTACAAAACAAGCATACTAGTAAACTATAATAGGTATAGTTTAGGGGTTCAGAACATACAATAACAAGAATAGAAGGAACATGCTACACTAATACAAGAACAATATAACATTACTGTGAGCCACTACTTCATAACACGACAATGTACTGTTGTGTCACGTTTTGTAACCAGAGTCTCCTGGAGGGAGAGCGTGAGTTTGTGTATAGATCTATACGGGATTGACCATCCTAAACCTTGTTGCTAGCTACAGTGGGACCTGCAGATCTACGGGTGACAAATGTCATACCATTTCGACGTCTTTGATCGTCGTGTTTACTAGTCAATCAAGTATGGTTATAATCTCATCACATTTTAACCTTAATTAACAAACTGGTTTTTAAGGTAGTTAGTGTTTCAGTAGTTACTTTATACAGTATTACTGAACACTTTCATTTTCCCATTACATTCATATAGTGATCTTCTCACATAAAAGGTAATGCAAACTATTTTCTAGAAAAAGATAGTCTTAAACTTGGGAAAACTTACATCATTACAAAAGACAAACAGAACAGTCGAGTCTTAGCACTTTCAGATAGAAGGGGGCCTATAATGCTAACTTTATGATTCCTCGGTAGATACGTCACGGATATATATTAATCGGATCCGGTAGACAGTAGGATGTGTGCTTTCCGCTTCATTTCCTGTTCCTTGTTCGGTTGTGGGCTTAAAGCAGATTCACCTAGTCTACTATCTAATCAATCTTAGCTATATATATATATAATATATATATATATATTATATACACCAAGTAATCATAAGGAGTACCAGGTATGGGTCAGGTCATAGTATACAAATTCAATACACCGCTTTCTAGTACAAACACATACTTTTCAGATAGAACAATTAGTAGGCTAAACTAGAAACTTATCAGTAAAAGGTTTAATTCATTTTATTAAACCAGTATAACTTAAAGGACCTTTAGTGGTTAATTCTGTAATACCTTAGTTTATACATCAGGGTTATATATAATTAATATCCAATAGGTAGTTGGATGTGTGCTTTCCGCTTTACTTCCTGTTCCTTGTTTGGTTGTGGGCTTAGGGCAGATTCACACAATTAACTTTGCGTTCGATATTAGATTATATATAGCTAGTGTAAACTAAGTGATTATAGAAGGAACTATTGTGGTCACCATTTTTACTAAAGGAAATATATGATTTTCTTAAAGAATGTTTTCATCAAATATAAAGAACTATTACAGTTAACTCTGTAAGTACCAAATGAATACGCCAGGGTTATATACAATGAAGATCTAACAAACAATGGGATGTGTGACTTCCGCCTCATTTCCTGTTCCTTGTTTGGTTGTGGGCTTAGGGCAGATTCACACAATCGATTGTCTGTTTGATCTGGATTCTATATAACTTGTATCCATTTAGTACTCATAGAAGGAATTGTAGAGTCATTTTACTTTCATTCACCATATCAGAAAATATAGGATTTTCTGGAGGAACAGGCGAACTTTTCTAAAAAGAACTTACAACTTACTTTACATCACTAAAATACTTATGAACTCACCAGCTTAAATGCTGATCTACTCTTTCAAAATAACTTGTATTCTCAGGAGACTAGTAGACAGGTACGCATGCTGGGATTCAGAAGGTGGAGTATAGTAGCTTCATGTCTTGTTTTGTTATTTACTTTTGGAGTCTAACTTTTTTGAATCACATACTTTGTAAACACTTTAATATTAATGCAATGGTTGTTTGTTACTTTGATTACTATGATGCATGTGTTGTGATACTAAACATGACGTCCTCCGCTCCGAACGTTTCCGTCGTTCCGGTTTGGGGGTGTGACAGTGTGTGCCTGTGATAACATACTAACACAATATAATTCATACACACACACACACACACACACACTCTCTCTCTCTCTCTCTCTCTCTCTCTCTTTCTCTCTCTAATAAAATACAAAACAAATATATATATATACAAACTCCCTCTCTCTCTTATCTTTAATGGTGTCTCTGTGTGTTTTTTGTGTTAACAGGACCAAAATATTCAGCATTTTAGCCTTCATTTTTTCCCTGCACTCTCTCCTTCTCGGTTCCTGCATAAAACATAAATCTTATTAGGTAATTTCTTTGTGAAATGTAATTAATATACATTCTAACTCTCTTTAATTGAATGATTGTGTTTTTGTTTACATGTCCAGAAACATATACATAAACAGGTAGCAGACATATTGCCTCTCTTTCTCGGTTCATGCATAACAAATATATTGGGTAATTTTATTTACAGTTTTTTCAATATTCATAATTTTCTTTCCAAAAATAGGGTGTTGAAACATAACCAGTTATGTGATATCATTGTGTGTGATATATGTGGAGATGTAGGTTATGAGCACTTACTTGCTATATGTAGTAGATGTATGGATGGCGCCGAACACACATATTGTATACAGATCATTAAAGATGAAGTACCTAAAAATGATTGTTTATGTGAAGATTGCAAATTTGGTGATGTTTACGATATTACAAGGGTTCAAGTGGAACCATTCAACAATCAAACCACCAAATCTAAAAATGAAAAGAAGTTTTTGAATACACAAACAGGAGATGACAAGCAAATAAAAATTCCAAAATTACCCCTACAAGATGAAGTCATTATACTTTCAAATTTGAAAATTATGAATGAAGAAGATTGCATGCACAACGAAATTCCACAACTACCCTTGGAACAAGAATACATTATTTATGGAAATGAGAATGCACAAATGAATTGGTGGATGAACTATAGCCAATGGATGATCGTTGACACCAATGGCTCTCTCTTGGGTGAATACAAAAAAATAGATGAAGACCTTTACATTAGTATAATCTAATATAAATTACAAATATAGATTAGGTTAATTATTGTGACATACTACTTTACGAAGGTTTAAATTCAAATAATAGTAATGTACATTGTATTGGTTGATTATTATAGCACCCTACTTTTGTTTTTATCAAAGTACTTCCATTTTATTTACGGGGTTGTTTGGTATTATATTTATATTCATTGGTTTTTTATGGTAATAAAGCATATTATTGAAAGTACATTACTATAAAACGGCTTTTCACAAGGCAACATGTGTTTTATAAGAAAATGAAAGTACAATGTTATAAATTGAATACTTTTCAAAGTAATATACTTACATAACAAACAATTATATTAAAGGGCTGTTTGGTATTAATTGTAAACTCATGGGGCTGTTTTGGTAAATAATTATATATTCATTGGCTATTTGGTAATATATTTTACCCTAAAAAACAACATATATATATAAATATTAATTAATCTTATCCTTCTATTTATCCGAAACTTATACTATTTATCCTTTATTTACTAAAATATTACTATAACCAAAACATTTTAAATTTTCAGATTTTTTTCATCATTACAAACTTTATTATTTTTAAACATTCGACCAATGCATCAAATAACATCCTAATATCATAAATTTAATTAAGTTTCTATTTGTTATGGGTAAATTAAAGTAGGTTGTTATTTTTTGGGATAATTCATATATTTTTAATTTGGTTTTCTAGACAGCACATGTTATATAAATACTTTCATTATAAGATTGTACTTTAAACTTTTTCAATGTACAATGTGATTACAAGGAAAATGAAATTCTAATGCTATAATTTAAAATTATATATTTTAGATTTAAAATATTCATCTTTTAATTTTATAAATTTTGAAATTCAGATATTTAAAAATGGATATTACATAAACAAGAAACAAAATTAGTATATTTGACATTATCCTAAGTTTAATTTTGAAAAACATATCCTAAAACTGTCAACAATATTGAATCTATCCTAACTACATAAATGTTGGTTGTTACATTGATATTATCCTACTTTTAAAATTTTAAATCTTATCCTACTTATCTATCCAAACAAGTTGTAAAATTCAAATAAAACTTATATATTCGAATATTAATCTTATCATATTTATTTATCCAAACTAATTATAATATTTAAAATTCAAAATTTAAATAATACATATTTTATCCCTTAATAACAAACAAACTTTATCAGAAAATCATTATATATACCTAAGTACTGCCGCCATATTCCAACCTATATATTAGTAAAATTCAATAGCCCAACTATCAAAAAGTATGTTAAACTATTTGTTATTGTTTTGCTTTTCATTTTAAATTTATGTTGAGTTATATTAACTCCTAATCTTTTTCCTCCTTGGCAGCCATCATGCAGGCCTTTAACATGTATGTAGAGACAACAAAACATGAAACTTGTGAAAAACCACTTTCTCTCCTAAAAAAAAAACATGATTTGACACTTCAATCTTTGAAATGGAATGAAGTGGTGGATCTTGTAAGTTCTGATAATCAACAATAGTTGACTGACGAAGATGTGGATACAGAAGATACAGCTGACTCGTTAAAACCTTTGAAAACACCCCGAGTCACAATTCAGAGACGAAATAGGTTCTCTAAGCTTAATCATCTACCAGATGACAAAGATTACCGGTATGTCATGATCATTTCAGTTGTATTTACACATTTATTTCATAATTGAATAAAACTAATTTAGTTTATATATTATATTTTTTTAATTTTAATCACTTCATTGCTAAATTTATTATTTCTAAATATGTTCAAATTTTATGTATATTATTATTATTTTCAAATAACTTTTTGCAGATATGGGTTGGAGTTACCTGTAGATGTGAACCATCCAATACATGGTGAAGATGATGTGCCACATCCCACTGAAGATGATGTAGGTGTGGTCCAGCCAAATCCGGCTGATAATGATGAATCAGAGCCGGGTGAAGACTGATCCTAGCAAGAAAGATCGTTAATTTATTTTTTTAATAATTTTGAATGACTTTTGCTTATAGCAAGTTGAATAGTAGGTATTTTATCTTTATGACTCTATGGTTTTAGATGCTTTGATATTGGGATTTTATGTTTTTTATGATTATTATTGAATTTTATGGTTTTTTAATCATACTTTTCATACTCTATTTTCTTATTTGTTATTGTTTATCATGGCATCCTACTTTCATTTCTTATTACAACATTCTAAAATTTCTTTAAATAAATACAATGCCTTATTTAGAAAAATATTGAAAGTAGAATGTTTTATCATAAAGAAATGAAAGTAAGATGTTGTGATTTTCAGGAACCTCATAAGAGATCCACTTTTTAAAATAATTATAAAAGAAAAAGTAAAATAAACTCGAGTCAAATGTGTTTTAAACAGCAAATTCAGTTCGATAACATGGCGCTTCCAAATAAAATTTGTTTTTAATAAGGAAACTGAAGTACAAAGTTATTATTTAGGCTTTTCAAAGTAAACATCTTACATATTAAACAACATGTACTAATGGGCTGTTTAAAACTAATTTTAAACTCAACAGCTGTTTTGAAATATAATTATATATTCATGGGTTGTTTGGTAATATAGTTTACCTCATGGTCTGTTATGGTAAAAAAAATATTGATTTAATAACCTGATAAATAAATGCGAGAATACAATATTTCAACCTAATAAATAATTCCATAATCATTCATGATAATATATCTTTTTTTCTTTATTATCATGCATTTTAGTTTGAAAAGTTAATTGAAAATCCATTTTAAAAACCTCAGAGGCTGTTTTGGTAAATAAATACATATTTATTCCCTCAAAAGCCACATTTACTTTTCATTCACATCAATAGGCGTAGATGTGGATAAAACAATGACATATATGACATCTGGAGTATACACTTTTTGTGTGAATGGAGGAATATATCATAGAATCGACCAGTTAATCCCAAGGGATGGAAAACCTCGGTACTTAAAGTTGTATTTTTACGATGCTGATTATGAGATGTCACATAGACTCAAATGGAAGAATATTGATAAACAAATTGCTCAAAAGTTGATCCGTGTTCTTGCCACAAACCCATAAGTGCAAATATTTCGAAGACTTGCCGATCTGGGGCCGCTTGACAATTACAGAGTCACTTTAAATGCATCAGTAGAACTTGACCAAAGGGTATACAACAGACCGACCACATCCGAGGTACCATAATAATTATTGTCTACTAATTCTAAAGTAAATATATTATGTATGACATACAACTGTATATATTACACACCATATATAATCATATCGTTTCCATAATAAAAATTCCAAGTCGCTGGTATTTGGATTGAAGGTAACGAAAACATAGCCGCATATAAACGAAGTATTATCGTGTATGTCAGATCCGAAAAACCACGAACAATTCAATCTTACTGGGGATGATATGATACATTGTGTTATCCTTTATTTTTTCCTAACGGTGAGTCTGGATGACATTCTAATATCCCAAGACATGGATTTCCCATCAATAATATTATTAACGACGACGAAGACATCCAGGATGATTTAGAAGGTACACATAAATTTTTTTAAAATTTTAGTTAAATTAACAAAGATTACATGTTTGTACAAAGCATTATTTTTTTTTTGTTCACGACATCAACATTGTGTGGACTCTAATACAAAAGGAGGGCGAAATATTGTAAGTATGCGGGAGTACTATTGCTATAAGTTTCAAATCCGGTTAAATTATAATGTTATTTTGTTGGGAGTGAGATTACTATAACAGTTTGTAGTAGATATCTACATCAAGATTGAGACTTCACATTTGGAGTTTTGTAGAAAAAACCAGTCCAAAATAAGATTTTTCAACGAGACTACTTATATACATCGCACGAAGTTGACTCCATCCGATAAAAAAATTTCATTCCGTTTTCAACATAGGTAATTCCCAATAGCAGTTTGTTTCGCTATGACCATTAACAAAAGTCAATGACAGTCATTATCAAATGTTGGATTATACTTGCGTAGACCTGTCTTCACCCATGATCAGTTATATGTAGCTGTTTCTCGTGTAACAAACAAAAAAGGTTTGAAGGTACTTATATGTGACGAAGAAGGTCGTTCAACTAATAAAACAAAAAACATTGTCTACAAAGAGGTCTTGCAACGTTTATAGATATTTATCGATTTCAGTGTTTCTTTTTCACATTTCAATAATAACAATAGCCATAAACTTTCTTTTATAATTATTATGCAATATATATATATATATATATATATATATATAATATATATATATATAAATGTTTTTATACGACGGGTTATAATCTAGTTCCATTATATAACACAAAAAATACCAATAATCAAAGGAAACATTTGATACTTTGGTCTATTTGAAAATTTCAAAATAGCCTAATTTTTAGAACGATTAAGTAGCAAAAAACAAAGATCTTTGACATCATTATTTCGCAATCATTTTTCTAGATTTGAATAATCGGGTGTGAAAGCTGTTCGGCTGATGTATAGTTTTCAATCACAACGCAGCAACATACACAAGCTGGTAATGTCAAAAACTTTTAAAATAAGAACCTGAACACTAGCTTTAAACGACAAGTAAAGATTTTCTTATAATAATCCAAGGAAAATATGTTGTGTTTCTATTAAAAAAATGCTTATACATAACATCTCTTAAATGGAGTTGAATTTTGATTTTCTGCCTCCAACCATAATATACAACGTATAAAAAGGTCACAAATTCAGTTCCCAAAAATAGCTTCACGCGTCACAAGTTTAATCCCCCTGACCCATAACTCCGCCATATCAACACCACCCTCACACACAAAATGCACCTCCTTATTCTTCGTCGTAACCACCCGAAACAATCCCTCCTCCTCCCCATCCGCCTTCTTCCTCCGGTTCCACCGGAACGACGAGCTTCCACCAACCTCCGCCCATTTACACACCACATTCCGCCTACTCGATTTCCCCCACCGCAACAACCCAGCGCCTTCCACCATGCTCAGCCGCTTGCTATGTGGACAACCTTTCCCCCCTTTACAATGTTTCTTCACTCGACCACCACCCAACACCAGCCCCCGTGCCACGTGGTCCAACAGAACCTGTTCGGCGTCTTTACAAGCTAACCGGAGCGCCGTCTCGTGTCTCGCGTTTTCAATCTCACAAATCGCCCCTTTCGAAATCAAAAACTCGCAGATCCTCCCGTGTCCTTCACGTGCCGCTAACATAAGCGGCGTGTACCCGTCGCCGTCAGGAGCGTTAATGTTTATGTCGTTTTCACCGTTTGTTAACGTTTTAACGGCGTCGAAGTCGCCTCTAGAAACGGCTCGGTGGAGGGTGTAAAATGAAAAAGCAAATCCTTTCTCAGGGGCGTTAATGTCATTTTCACATTCAAGTATAACTTTCTCAAAAGCACCACAGTCAACACTCGCTTCCGATAAACTAACTGCGGTTTCGCCGTATTTATTTTGAAGTTTTACGTTAGCTCCGGCGGAAACGAGCAACCGGAAGGCGTCCACGTGTCGGTTTATGACAGCAACCATGACCGCAGAATACCCGTTTTCATCTTGCTCATCGAGGTCAACTCCTTGGTCAACGATTTTTTTCAACGCTTCAATATCGTTGACACGTGTAACAAACATTAAACTCGAGAATATCGAAGAATCGCTAGACCGGATGACCTTTCCGGTTCGAACCACCTCCAAAATAGCTTGTCTCAGCCCTAATGTCCATCGAACTGACCCAGCAATCGACTGGACACATTGATTACCCGAATTGACCAAACCGAAATCGGCTCCGGCGCCGGCGAGAAGCTTAAGACAGTCGACGTGTTTATTCCTTGCACATATCATGAGTGCGGTTTCTCCGGCGTCAGTTTTCGAGTCGAGATTACAGCCGGCGTTGACCAGGTGCTGGAGGACGGCGGAGTAACCAAGGCTTGCGGCCAAATGGATTAGTCGGAAACCGGTTCCTTTGATGGTTTGAACCGGGAGCTCCGGATCAGCACCCCGGTTTAATAAAAGCTCGATTGCTTTTAGATTTGAGCAAAGTATAGCGTGATGGATTATCGTTCGACCAAAATGAGGAATATTAGGGGAGATATGTTGAAGGAGGGTGTTTAATATTGAACCGGTTTTTTCAAAATACTCGACCGCGCACCATGTAATGTCATACGGTTCAGCTAAACCGGCGCCTACTCGGAATTCTTCTCCGGTTGTCGTGTCCCATGTCCAGGCTCCTAGCCTCACCTTGGTGTCTGTTCTTGCACCCGCCTGCTCAAAAAACAATATTTTAAAGTTTAAAACTAATTTTTTTTCTTATTATTTATTATAATTTTTTATTCTATTTAAGATTATAAAAAATCATCTCATATAATAATTAAAGAGGTCAAATGAAAATATACTAAAAAACTAACCGAAAGTTGGCTGGCCAACCATTGGCTGTTTAGTTTTCATTTTCTTTAATTTGATTATTAAGTTTTTAGGTTTTTCTGATGGCCAACTATTTATTGACTGTTTAGTTTTCATTTTTCTATTATTTAATTTAAGTTTTTTGGTTTATTTATGAAAGAATATATAGAAAATAACCTTCAAAAGAAGTTGAACAACTGAGATGTGTCTATTGACAATAGCCGCAACAAGGGCATTACAACTAACATCCGCATGTAAAAATGGCTTGGAAGATCGAAGCAAAACTCGAGCAGTTCCATTCATGTCTACTCCACACTGCCATCAAACATTCAAATATACATAATCAACTTTAAATATTATTCCATTTATAATTTGGAATATTTTTGTTATATGTACCTTGAAAAGTGTATCAACAAAATCAATATATCCTCTACATGATGCATTGACATGGGCATGGACTGCAACATTAGGGCGAATGAGGTCTGATGCCATTAGAGCTTTTGCAGGCATGGCTAAACCATGGTGACTTGCTTCAAGTAAAGCCTCTTCACAAGCAACTTGAGAAGCTCCACCTTCAATTAATAACTCTAATATCTCAACATGGCATCCTCTTGTTGCTGCTGTGGTTGCATACCCACGAAATAATTTCTTGTTCACATTTGCCCCAATACTCTACAATTTAGACAAAAACTATGGTTATATACTTATATTGGCTCCATTTTCAAAAATCGAGATATGTAATGTTGAGATTAATTTGCATTTTGAGTTATAAGATATTATGACTAATCATTAAATTAAGCGTTAATTCTGCAAATGTGGCCAATAATTGATAGTTTGAATTTTGCAAACCATCGCTTTCAAAATCCAGATAATAGTAATACGTAACGTTTCTAGCTATTTTTCGAAAACCAAATCACAATGAAACAAAGAGAAATGTCCAAGGCTAATCAAATTATTTTTCTCAATTACGAAATACCGGAAAGAACAGATCAAACAATTTGAAATTATCCGAAAGTAACTGAAATTATTTGCTCTAAAGCTCAAGCTGAAAATTAGGTCGTGATTCGGGAAAAAGAAATTGAAAACACATTATGCGTGTTCTAACAGTGAAGGTTGATTGAAATTTTGTATTTGTGTTCTTCTTCTATTTCATCAAGTAAGTTTTGATAAAAGTAGGATCGTTTTCGTTAAATTCCGAATTTCAAGACAAATGATGCAAAAACTGATCATATTACCAGTAGCTTTCTGACGAGCTTCACGTTTCCGGCATGAGCAGCGAGGAAAAGAGCAGTAACATCCGTATTGAACTCTTCAAACTCCACTCGAACCTCGCTCGGAGACTCATCATGTAACACGATCTCTGTCTTCTTCGAATTCAAACATACGGTTCCAGCAAAGTTCACATCAACAAAAGGATCTGCCAAGCACTCCAACGCAGCCTTGAAATCGTTGGCATGTGTAGCTTCAACAAGGCGTTGTGAGACTTTCTCCACGTAATCTTCCACAGGAAACACCTTTTTCACAGCCAGATATCCTCCACCGCCTGTGGATTCACCGGAGTTGTAGACCGTCATAGTTTCCGGTGTTTCTCAGTCAGAAATGTGTTGTTGGAGATTTGTTGTATAGAACAACGAAGATGTCAAGCCAGTGTGCGTTATTG